TGTTCGGTATGGCTAACCATGCGTAAATGATCCTTGATGAATGTTTTGTTTAGAATGGTTCATGGGCATGACAAAATGGAACTGATAATAAGTGTGTCTTTAAACAAAAATGATACGAAAGAGAAGATCCAATATAGCAGAAGTGGAATCCGGCACCAACCTAGCAATGCCATGATTCTTGAGAGCCGCGGTGCTCGTGATCTCCATTTGATTCTCGAAGATGGAGGGATTAGCCGAGGCATTGCCATGCTTCTTGCGCTCCTTTTCGTACTGACGTGAGGGTATCAGCAGATGGCCATAGGAAATGTCCTGCAGGAGAAGAGTCTCTGGTTAATATTTAATTCAAAGAATTACTTTACAAACTTACCTGACCGCTCTCGGCCTTTTGTATGCCCAGCAAATCAAATGGATCGAAGGGAGCATCATTAATAGAACTTAATGGTCGTGATGTAGAGGGATTCCTACGACGACGATCCTCCTTACGAAACTCAGCTCTGCAAATAGTAAATCATCTCATTAAGTTCTGTTATCAATTAGTTAAATTAAGTACCAACTCACCTTCCATTCTTTCCCTTGTAGTAGGGCAACGCCGAGAATATAAAGAATGGCACCTTGCGGGATACCAGCACCATACGCTCATCTCGTCCCTGGCCCAAGCCCAATGCCTGGCTAGAGGTTCCCCTCCGACTGTCACTGATCTGCACCGACTTGCTCAAGCTGCTCCGGAAGCTGCCGGCAAAATTACCCGCCGGCGTCAGGCTCTCCGTGCTGCTGTCATCGGTTATGTGGCTCACACTCGATCCGCTTAGAACGTAGGTGCGTTTCAGGCCGCCACCGACGGCAATGCTTGAGTTGGAGTTACCCGCTCGCATGCCCGGTGCCGTGTTGAGACGAGCCCTCCGTTCCGGCTGCAAATTCTGATCGCTGGCCCCATTGCTGAAGGTGCTGTGGGTAAGAGAGAAACATATGGAGATTGGTTAGAATCATAGCGATCTAAGGAGCAACAGGCGCTCAAAAATTCAAGTAGCGTGAAAAACGAGCAACAGCAAAGCGATACAAAAACCGCGTTGGGCTGGACCTTGAAGGCGCTTCGTCGCTTTGCTGCTCTTTGCTTGCATTAAAAATACGTTTTCGGTATTTATAAATTCAATGACAAATGCCAGACCGAAGAGAGAGACTAGCTCTGTCGGCTTAGCTAGTTAATCGAACAAAAAAATGGTTTTTTGAACACTTATTCGACTAGATAAATGTAGTTATAAAAGAGTATCTTAAAGATATTTAATGATTTATAAAAGAAATATACTTAAACTGAAAGATTTTTCAATATTTCACTTAGTTTCAGACCTAAATGAGCACATTTTAACTATGAATCTTTAGTAAGAAAGCTGTTATTGCTAACTATTTAACTTTATTTATTGCAAATAGCGTAATAATTTACTATACAAATTTAATTTAAATGTATTTTCCTTAAAGTATCTTGAAAGTATTTAATAATTTTTAAAGTAAATGTACTAGAATTTGTAGATTTTTTAACACAGTGGCTAGTTTAAGGGCTTAATGAGCATAATTAAGCTATGAATCTTTAGCAAAGAATGTCTGACAACTAAATAATGGTTTATTATTAAAATACCTTAAAAAATATTTAAAAAAATAACCCAAATAAATTCTATAATTCCCTATTTAACTCTCTAATGTAATACTTTTCTCTATCCCTTGGTTTCTTTACCCAAACTCTTGTTATTCATTTACCCTACAAACTATCAACACTGACAGATGGTCTATCTATCTAGCTTGGTGCTTCCCCTCCTCTGACTGGGGATCCGCTGAGGCAGCAGGGGGCTCCATCGTCACACCCCTCATGCAATGATCGATATTTTCACAGGGACCCAGAAATTAAGACACACTGAGCAGCAACGATTTTCCTTTACACATTTTAAGGGCGATCAAAGTGGCTGGCTGGCTGGCTGCTCGCATCGCTTATCGTTGCCTCTGCTGCTGGTGTGTATTTTTGGAAATCAAAAACACACAAAAACACACTTGAAAAGCAACGAACATGTGTGAATGTGTGTGTTTGTGTGCGGTTGAAGGGCATATGCCAGCAGCAGCAGCAGCAACAGCAACAAATAATAATAAAAGCAACGACGACAAGTCAATTAGCCAACTAAACTCAACGACGTCTTTGTGGAAACTGAGCGCCTGGCCGATTACCTTGGGATAATTGGTCTAGGTCGAGGTTACAGCCATCATCATCATTAGCAGTAGCAGCAGCAGCAGTAGCAGTAGCAGCAGCAGCAGTAGCAGTAGCAGCAGCAGCAGCAACACCAGCAGCAGCAGAGGGAAAACCAAGGGAAAACTCCCGCTCCCCACCCAAAAAAAGTGCTTGAGGTGACGATTCTGCGTTAATTAGTTGAATAAAGTCTTCGTGGCTTCTCAAAAAGAACCCCAACCCTTGGCCAGTGGATTACTCCAGCCCAGCTCCTTCTCCTGCTCCACCCTTGGCATTATGATGATGGAGGTGGCGCCTAGGCTGTCATAACCCGTTAATTAGTTGGAGCATTTGAACAGGCTCACAGAAGGCAGCAGCCCGAATATATTTTTACATGCTTACAAATGTAAAGCTGACGGTGAAGATGGCTCGTTGGACGAGAGGGGAATACATACAAGGGCCAAGGGGAAGATGACTCCAAAAATGTTTCTATATATATGTATATGTGTACTGTGTGTGTGGAAAAGGGCCAGCAAACATTTATTTTTGTGCGTTTGCTTTGTGTTTGTGGTTCGTCCAACTTATCGACTTTGACTCGCTAATGAGTGTGTGCGTGTGCGAGGTGATAAGAGTTCAGTGTGTGAAGGTGTGTGTAGGTTTCCGACTGCAACTCCAAGTAGTTTTCTTTTTTTTTATTTTGGAAAACCTCCACCAACTAGATAGAGCTGTGCGCCTGAGCCTAATGCAAACAGTATTTCAATTCCAACAATAGTATTTTTGATCAATTTTCAAAAATTGTGTTTCTGAGTATTTTTGGGTTTTCGAGAAAAGGTAAAGGGAATTTTCTTTAGTGGTTTGAAAATGTTCTCAGACTATTTCTGTTGAAGGAACAGAGAAATAGAAAAAGATGAAATGTACATTTTTCAGATGTTTTCCTTTTAAAATTGGATTCAAATTTGTGTTCGGATAGATCGTTTATATTTTTGTGTTACTTGACAATTTTAATGTGTATTGAGAGTACTGAGATTTTCCAGAAATTATTTAATTTGAAATTTCGTTTATATACTATTAATTTTAGGAAATAGAAATTTAAGGTGTTTTCTAAGTATGAAAGATATAATCGTTATAGGAAAATGTACTTAATTTAAATTTAATATTAGGTTTTATTATTTACTTTTAATTTTAGAAAATAATTTAGTTTCTTAAGTTACCATCTTCCAATAATTTTTTTCACACTTAATTTTAATAAATAATCTATTTTCAAAGGAAACCCTGGTATTCAATATTAGTTTTACTGTTTAAAATATTATAAAGTTTAATCATTCTTCTATAGTTTTGATTAATTAAATATTATTTTAATTAATATATTCTTCTGATAAAGAAATCTTGAAGTGAAAATTCTAAAATTATAAAACACTTTTTCGAACTACAGTGACTGATTAATTATAGATGTAAAGATTATAAGCTTTAATTTAAATATAAAACTGTCTACTTAATCTATTTGTACGTATATTTATAAAAACCTTATCGCTTAGCAAATTAGCCAGCCTCCCAATCTAAACAAAATAACATTTCATCATACATATACCATCTGTGCTAGACTTTCGTCTAGAGTGTACTCTAATCTCTTTGATTAGCTAATATTGACCGAAATACTGGTACTAAAAGCTTAAGTAAGTACACTTTTCGCATCTGCCAGAGAAGTTAAATAAATCTGGCTAAATCGAAATATAAAATAAATTAAACTTTTGCTATCTTTGTTACCCCTTCTGCTTCCCCTTCCCTTTCCCCACTTGTTTTTAATTGTTAAATAGTATAAGTGTTAGTGTCTGTGGTGTGTGTGTGTGTGTGTGCAATCAAGTCAACTGAGTCAATTTTGCTTTTATCAGCAGTAGCACTAGCTTTTGTTATTGTCATCATTGTGACTTTGTTGTTTTTGCTGCTATCAGCTGCGGTCTATATGTTCATAAAGTGTATGTACATACATATATGCAAACAGATGTTAATAATGGGAGTACATTTCTTATATAAGTTCCCATTTGACCACATCACGTGCCTGGCTGTCTTCATTGTACATTTTGCAATTGAAAGCTTAGCTAAGCAGAGCTATTTATTGATAAAAGCTCACTTCAAAGTAACAAAACAAAAACAAAGAAAATATAAAACAAAACAAGAACCACAAATATATGTAAATTTTGGTATTAACAAGTTTTTGTTAAAAACTAAGAGCAGATGAAACCAGAAATGTCTTTCAAATACTAAGAAAACGTAAACAAAACGCTAGGATTATGAAAGGTTAGGAAACAGTGTGTGAAACGTTAGGAAACCGCTAAGAAAATAAGAAAAAAGTTAAGAAAATTGCAAAGAGAACTTGTAAAAATTATTAGAAAATAGCTTGCAAAAAGGCAGAATGAAATCGATTTTAAAACGTTATAAAGCCGTTTGCAAAACGCAGAGAAAATGCTGGCGAAACTCTAGGAAACAGAGAGTATGAATTAGCTGAGGAAAACGCTTGGAAAAAGATAGAAAAAACGCCTTCAAAACGCTAAGAAACAGCATGCGAAACGCTAGAAAACCGTCTCCAAAACGCTTAGAATTCTCCTGCAAACCGCTAGGAAACCGTCTAAAAACGCTGCGATACCGCTCTTAAGACGTTAGGAAACTGTTTTAAGACGCTAGGAAACCGCTTTCAAAGCGAAAACCTTTTAAGAACTTAAAAAATATTTCATTAAATATATTTCAGAGTAAATTATTGATATTTCAGCTTCGTTTAGAAATTTTTCCATTTTTTTAAGTTGGCTATGTTTCTAAATTCTAAATTCAATGCAAGGACACTGGAGAAGTTTTCATAATTTTAATACTAGTTGCTGGAACAAGTATTTTCCACGAATAGATTTGAAAATCAAACTAGAAATTCCCCAGCTGTTTTGGCTTTCACCCCAACCGATAGTTCGCGGCACTTTCCACATACTCAGACGACGACAGCAAAATGGGCGATGTCCTGAATATTGATAGCATAATATCGCGACTTTTGGAGGTGCGCGGAGCACGTCCTGGCAAGAACGTCCAACTGCTGGAGAATGAGATCCGGGGTCTCTGCTTGAAGTCCAGGGAAATCTTTCTCTCCCAACCCATCCTGCTGGACTTGGAGGCACCACTCAAGATCTGCGGCGACATCCATGGACAGTACTATGACCTGTTGCGCCTCTTCGAGTACGGCGGCTATCCGCCCGAGTCGAACTATCTGTTTCTGGGCGATTATGTGGATCGTGGCAAGCAATCCCTGGAGACCATTTGCCTGCTGCTCGCCTACAAGATCAAATACTCGGAGAACTTCTTCCTGCTGAGGGGCAACCACGAGTGCGCCGCCATCAATCGCATCTATGGGTTCTACGACGAGTGCAAGCGCCGGTATAGCGTCAAGCTGTGGAAGACCTTCACCGACTGTTTCAACTGCCTGCCGGTCGCTGCCATAGTCGATGAGAAGATCTTCTGCTGCCACGGTGGGCTCAGTCCCGATCTCACCTCGATGGACCAGATCCGGCGCATTATGCGACCCATCGATGTCCCCGATCAGGGTCTGCTGTGCGATCTCCTGTGGTCCGATCCGGACAAGGACACCATGGGCTGGGGTGAGAACGACCGCGGTGTCAGCTTCACCTTTGGGGCCGAGGTGGTGTCCAAGTTCCTGCAGAAGCACGACTTTGACCTCATCTGCCGGGCCCATCAGGTCGTGGAGGATGGCTACGAGTTCTTTGCAAAGCGTCAGCTGGTCACTGTCTTTTCGGCTCCGAATTATTGTGGCGAATTCGATAATGCCGGTGCCATGATGTCTGTGGATGACACGCTAATGTGCTCCTTTCAGATACTGAAGCCAGTGGAAAAAACTAAAAAGTAGTGTCACAACAGCCCAACAACTACAATATTTTCCCTAAAAAAGAAAAACCTATAACCAAGAAACGAGAAACGAGACAAGGGGAAGGTCAAAATCTGCAAGAACCCAAACTGAAATCCCATCTCTAGATGGAGGAGTCATAAAGAAGTTCAATCTGGAAGAAAAAAAATCAAAAAGCAAAAAATGAACCACTTTAAAGCGCTTAACTTATGACAATTCGTGTATTTCTGTGACATATAAAGACTTTGCGGACGAGATAAAGAATAATGAGCTATAGATGTTCTGTTACAATGATTATTTAAAGCTGGATTTTAATTATTAGAGGAGGTTCTAGTGAAATATGTATCAGAAATGTGTCTCTGGAAAATATATATACTAGAGTTGTACTTGAACTAAGTTAATGAGATTTATTGATTATTTTTAGACACGAAATAGATTTTTAATTAAATTTTCCTATAATATCCTTCCCCTTTACCATCCCTCCTTATAAAATACCTTAGAAAATGTCACATTTCTATATTAATTAATGCTAAACATATATAATTTCCTTTCAAGCTTTAAAGTTAATTAATTGCCCAACCGATTAAGTTTTTTTTTTTTTTTTGCTGTGCTTCAAACCCAATGACGCACATCGTGACCATAATCAATCTCGCTCTTCTCTCTCTAGCCTCGGAACCAAACTGTACGGAACGAAAAGCGGTGTTGTTCTCGATAAGGTGCAACACATCACGGCAATTCGATGAGGCCCAATCAGGGCAGTCGAAAGCGGTGCAAAAAAATAGCAACAATATACAATATACACTTATATATGTATGTATGTGTACACATAACAATAGCAATAATCGTGTTAGGAAAGGGAGCCGTAACAAAAGAATAGCCGTCGTGCTGCTGTAAACAAACAGGGAGCACAAAGGAGAATGCCGAAAAACGCTAGCGATTTTGACCGCGCGCGCAAAAAAACAAACCCCGAGAGAGCGACTTGTGTTTACATAGTCCAAGCTAATTACATAAGGTAAATAACAACAACAAAAAAACTAAATGTGTATTTACAAGTCCAACTGAAGGCTGTCGATAAAAAGAAAAATAAAACAATTACAGACATACGTGGTGTTGATAGAAAACTATATATTCTGACTGGCCTATATTTCTTTATAATAAAACTACAGTGTAAATTCCGCAGTAATGGTTGTATTTAATTTAATGGTTAATAAACTTATTCAAACAATACCACATTTAGGTTTTAACATATTTAGATAAATAACCTTTATTGGAAATACTAAAATAGGCGATTAAAATTCCAAATTCCGAAAGGCATGAAAAATGTTTAGATTAATTCGGATTTAATAATTTTTAATGTTAAGTAAATAAGAGAGGTAAGAAATAATATATTTATTTTATAGATTTTTTACATAAGGTATTAAGAATAGGAATTATTGAATTCTTTTATTTAAATAAATAACATTTATAGATAAATGAACAACTTTTAAAGTAAGAAGTACCAAGGGAAATATAGAATTCGATTGAGCCAAATTAGTATTAATGGGGTAACTTGGCCAGAAACTGAAAAGTACATATGTATTTTGAAACCTATTTGCTATTTGTCTACAGATAAAATTTCACAAGTTGTTGTATACTAAATATCAAAAATTTATGAATTAAATTAACAAAACATCAAATTACAAAAACATCCACTGTGTTCACTTTTAACGAAATCTACAATGGAAAATTCTCATTTTTTTTACCAAATCCGCAACTTTGCTTTATTCCTCACTTCAAAGTCCGCCTTCTTATATACAAAAACAACTGTGGCAAGAGTGGAAATAACAACAAATAATAACCAAATATCAGACAAGAGAGAACCCAAAAGATCCGCTTTTAACCGCTTTTACTTGCCAAATACAGTGGAAGTCATAAACGAGTCAGAGAAGCGAAAGCCACTGTGAAAAAGGCCAGATAAAACATAAAATAATAATAGTGGGGAATGGAGTGGAAACATGTGTATATTTAAATATAATAAATATAATAAGTCGCAGTTGTTATATTAGCATTGAGGTTTGTGCCGATAAGAAACGTGCTCGGTCTTTATCTGTGGGGTTCTTTGCTGTTGGGGAAGTCTGCGCAATGAACTCAACAAAGAAATTGCAATATGGTACATATATGTATATACATATATGTATATATAGACTTATTTGCAAAATGGATTAGTAGTATCTGTGTGTCATCATACTTGGGACTTGCTTATCTTTATTTTCTGGGCAGACAGACAGGCCTTCATGGAAATCGAGCTTTATGATTGTCTATATTTGATTGTTCTGAAGCTAGCAAATACAGAGAGGAAAATATGTGATTCTGAGACTTTTAAAAAGAGTTTCAACTATATTTTTCTCACACACGTTGAAGGTTTTCAATATTCCTGAGTTCTTGAAATCATGAATTCTTCAATAAAGCATCAAGGGTTACTTTATCCTTGGTTATGTAAACTAAAATGCATTTGCAAATTGCATCCTTTGTGCGCTTTCAAGTTTTTCTTTTTCTTTTTTGCACCACTGACACACATATCTCCCAACCCCTCAGCACAAAGCCTGAGCACAACCCCTTTTGAAATCTGACCTTGAAAACATTGTGTGTATTTTTTTTCAAGCTTCAAGGATTAGAATCTCTTGTGTACGCACAAGTAGCTGGGCAAAAAATGAAAACAAACAAGGGAAACCGGTTCTTATTACGTCGACGATTGCATAAAATTCTGCCCTCAAGGTTACCCAGTTGGAGTGGATAAAAAAGAGGGGGAAGAGCTGGAGAGGAGGATATGCTGGGTTTGGACAGGTTTGCAGACCCGACATTGACATTGACATCGGACGAGGAGGCAGGAGGCAGGAGGCAGGAGGCAGGCTATTACGCAGTAAGGATGAGAGGCCTGGAAAGCTCGACATGGCCAAGTTCAATGCCAATGCCAAGCTTTAGGTTTCGCCGGCTAAAAGTCCTTGGGTTGCCTTTCAGAGGACCCAAAAAGGGCGGGGAATTAAATCAAATTAATGCCATGACGCAACCTTTTTTTTGTGAAGAGGGAAGGAAAAAAGAGCAGCATAATATGAATGAAGTATAAAAATTGTTTACGTGATCGTGGCTCACTCTTTCGTGTTCCCCATTCAAGCGGCACCAGAAACTCCACAAAAACAGCTCAGGTTTCAAAACAACAAAAAAGGAACATAAGTAGTTTGTTTTTGATTTGTTCAAATTGCGTCGCAGTAGATTTGCCCCCTTTTTTATTTGCGCCTGCGCAGCTTTTTCGTAGATGTTCATCTTCCGTTCCCAACCAAAATGCCAGAGTTTCCAATAACAAAATATTTTCATTTGCAACAATTGGACAATTTGAAGATGTGCTGACACTGCCAGAGCTTCCATTCAACCCATTCCGAAGCGGATGTAGTGAATGCAATTGGAGATTTGTGGGTAAAAACTAATATTGTTGAGGTTCAAAATATTTTTGTTTTGATGCCGTTTGGAAAGGAGAGATCTTTGGAATTTGTAAAGGAAAATAACAACAAGCTTAGGATACTTTTTGTTTTATTTTCCCAAAGAGTAATTAGTATTCACCAAGTGACTCAGAACAGAAATGACTTGGCAATTAATAGTTATTAAATGAATGCATGAAATAGGGAAAATACTACTACCAGGTGCTTGAGGTGTTTTTTATTGGACTTTCCTATCACCTGACATCAGAGTGGCCCTAAAAGTTTCTCTGTAAACGTCAATGAGATTTCTTATCGAAAGATTAAATAATCTTTGTCCAGGTGAATGTAAGAGATGGTTATATATCAAGATATTTGTCACGTAATCTTATCAGTATAATATACTTGCGGGTCATCTTGTCACTAGATAAGTCGAAAAGAAACAATTTAAGATTTAATCATTGAAGTATTGTTTTAAATCAAGATTTACACATGAAATCTATTAGATTTTATGCATTTACTCAAGTAATTTGTACATGAAATCTATTAGAAACAAACTATTATATCACTTATATTAGGCACAAGTTGGATCTCTTAAGCAATTAATTGTTTTTACTATAATTAAGCTATTTTTAAGCAGGAAATTGCTAGAGATATACGAAAAATAAAGACAAAAATTCAATTCAAACCCTTTTTAATTTCTAATAATTGCTAATCTAGTTTGGGAAAAATGATTTGACCAAATGCCACTGACAGTTTGCTGACAAGCCAATTGGCTGAATGCCAACTGCATAGTTTAGCTAAGTTTTTGTCAACTCTTCGATGACAATAGAGAGTCCCCGAAAAACGGGTTAGACACCGCCACCAGTTGAGTGGCACTAGCAGACCCCCAGATCCGTGAAAGAAACCGAAACTGAAACCGAAAATGCTAATATATATTTAAGATATATATGTATACTCATTCATACCGAAGCGTTAGCCGAGCGCAACTGCAAAGCTGCGGAAAAACAAGGTCAGTTTGTCAAAGCGCAGCGAGTTCAACGAAACTTGTCTCTGGCATTGCAAGTGAAAGCTTTCAATTGAGGGACAGAATTTGGAATGCATTTTCCGAAGCTTTTCGGCAAGGAAAAACGACAGGGTTCAAGGAAGTTTAAGGAGCGAAAATGCGCCAAGCATTGGCTTTAACGAGCGTCTCATTGGCACACGCATTTCGCATTGCGTAAATATCATTGCGTGTTGATTCGATAGGCTACTAGATAATAATATACACCTACAACACCCATGATTCACCTGCTGACAGTAGTCGAGGGGCTGTGACAGGTCGTTTAAATGCGTGACAAAACCCCTCCAGCCCGCAAACAAAAGCTTAAAATTAAACGAACAATACAACAACATGCAATTGCGTTGAATTGTTTGAATTGTTTGAACAGCCGGCAGGCACTGGGCACGCTCTCTAATTTACGTTAATTGAGCTTGGCACACGTCGATGAATGAAGCTGATTTCCCACACCCCCTTCCAAGTAATATATATTATTTTGGGGTGTTATTTTTAGCACCGCTTGGTTTTCACTGGCAAGCAACAGGCCTCTTTAGCCAATTATGCAAAATCAGGCATGGAAAACGTGATGAAAATCCTCTCAGCCTCTCGGGAAGCGTCACAAAATATCACAAATCGAAATTTATAAATACTTGTGAGAGCCAGCTGCCTTGTTTTCCGCTTTGTTTTCGCAGTATTTTCATCACATTTGAGCCTTTTGTAAGCAAATTATAAACCAAGTGTCAATTGGCTAACGCAAACTTAAGCGGAAATTTCAATTAACGTTTAGAGAATACAAGGGAAAACCAACACAAATCGAAACCAATTATGACGAAAGAATAATTGAATTGAATTGAACAACAGTTCCTTGATCTATGGGGTATGATTCATATTTCTCTCGCCCGCTCAGCCAATCAGTATAATTAAAAGAATTTTCCTCGTATTTCTTAGGAAGAAAATGCGGAATAACTTTTAGGAAAAGCTGGCCACTTTGACGTCACATGACATATCATTTTTGGTCAGCAACAAGGCCACATCTTAACTTGGGAATGGGAAATTTTTGGTGTTTAATTGCAACGTTTTTGGTGATTTATGGGGAATATTTAGAGTTTATATATAAAGGAATCAGATGCGCAGTAGTTCTCAGATATGGAAAACGAAAAAGATTATATATAGTATGGTAAATTGATTTGCCATAGCTTTAGACTTCTACGGAGATTTGTTTACATATTAGAAAACCATTTAAACCGAATTTTGATGACCATAAAACTTAGATTTATGATTATTAGGCAGATATTAAAACTGCCTTTACAATAATAAATAGACGATAGGTAAGACTTTGGAATAACTAAAAAATTATTAGTATTTAAAGGTTGAACATTTTCCCGAGATACCTTTTTTGTACCTTAGTTTATACGTATTTTGTATTGCTTATAAAGTAATGCTTGGTTGACTCACCGTTCCCTTAGTGGCAATAGCTTGCTGTTGCCAACTCCACCGGCGACGCCACCGCCACTGCCCAGATTGGACACCTTGAGCGGTATCTTGACGCTATCCGAATCGCTGCCACTCTCGGCACCCGATCCCCCGCTGCCAGCGGTGCAGCTCCGTGCCTGTCGCTGCTGCTGCTGCTCCAGCTGCTGATGATGGAGCTTGTTGCTCATCATGCCCATATTGCCACTGCCCGTTACCTGGTGGTTCTGACGGCCCGACGAGGTCGGTCGCTTTATGTTACGTCTCTCGGCCGGCACAACGCAGCTGCGATTGTGATCGGCGGCCGGCAGGACGTTCATCAGGTATTGACCCATATTTTCAGTTTCACTAAAATGCCCGTCACCATCGCTGGCACCACCAGCACCGGCGGTGCACTCCTCCAGCCCGAAGCCGCCATCGATGCCCATGTGGACATCAGCGCTGCAGAGGAGCGGTGAGCAGAGGACACCGCCATTCTGATGCTGCTGCTGCTGCTGCTGGTGGGTATGGTTTTGCTGTTGATTCTGATTCTGGTGCTGCTGCTGCTGCTGATGAGTATGTTGCTGGTGCGGCTGCTGCGGATGCCTCTTCTGGTGGTTGTGGTGCGTGGCCGAGTGGCTGCGCTGGTGGTGATGCTGCTGATAGTGCGGATGATAGCCCCCTGAGCCGAGTCCCAGCGAGGTTGGGTTCTTATTCTGGTTGCAGAGCAGGCTGCTGCCGAATGTTGCGCCGAATTTGGTGTCCCGATGGGTGCCATCTAACGAGATATTCGATAGGAACGAGATCGCAGCCAGTCTGCGTCTGTGTCTCGTCTTGTTGAGCGAACTTGCCATTAGGCGATTAACCCGGAGTCACGAAGTGAGTTTAACCGAAGGGAGATATGGATTTTGGGTGTGGGTTTAGTCCCGGAAAGCTATGCGGAATGTAAAAGGTTGCACTTTTTCTGGAACAGTCTTTGCAATTCTCTCCTTTTTTCCTCTATTTTATTTGCACTCACAAATGGGTTTTATGCGTTATGATATTAACTACTCTTTTTTTACTGCCTGCTGTTTTTGAATTTGAATCGATGCGATCAATTAAGTTTTTTAGTCTCTAAACTAGCAGACAAGTTGAAAAACAAACTACTTGAACGCGACATGGTGACAGATTTAAGCACTTTTAACGGAGGGAAAAGAACAAATTAAATTTGATTTTAATGCACTTTTATAACTAAGCGTTTATGAGTCGTTGCGTTGCTGTTTGGCTGCAAATAGAAACAAGAATAGAAGGAAAACATGGAATCAATAAATGCGGCAATATCAAGTAGCTTTCTGACCAAAAAAATAAGCTTTGGCAGGGTATTTTCTGTGGGGGATAAAGATGAAATGTATTGGGTTGCCACGGTTAAAAACAGTAGTTATTTTAAAAATAAAATTGTTTGGATAAATATTGATTTAAATATGATATTGGTTTTACAATTTATTTAGAGAGGTTTGTTTTTATTTATATTATATTAGTTTTAGGAAATAGTAAAATTAGTTAAAGATTTCTCTCGAATTATATAATTGGTTATACCATTAATTGGCATGGAATGGGATGGGCAATAACTTTTTAGCTACGAACATGGTTTTAGGAACTGTTTTTAATTATAAACTATTCCAGGTAACAGTTTTTAATAAAAATATAGAAATCTTGAATATTTGATTTATAAGTAATGGTTACAGGGAAAAGAATTGGTTGAAATAATATAGATTTTACCAATTTTTTTTTTCTATAAATTTAACAAAGGAGAGATATTTGAATAAATTTTATAATTGTAATATATTTATTCAATGAAATTTCGAATGTTTAGTCTTAATAATAAGTAAGTCTTAATTTTTATAGATTAATCCCTTGCTTTTAACCCTGATTTTTGACAAAATGGATGCCAAAGTGAGAAAACTCCGTTTTGCCGATGACAAAGAAAGCTTTCGCTGGCTGCGAAAAAAGCTGCATGCAGCTCAAAGCTGCAGAAAGCCATGATTTCTGACCACTTTGTTGTTGTTTTTGTTGCCGCTGTTACTCGGCTCAGTGTGCCACTTTTGTGGGTGGCGAGACAGAAAGGAAGAGAAAGAGAGAGAGCGAAAGAGAGCTAAAACCGGCAACAAAAAAATCTCGAAGCGGTTTTCCGCACGTCTGTTTACATTGCAATTCCAAAGGAAAACTGGGAGTGAGACCCTTGAAATGCCCGAAAAATTTTCCGTTGTCAAGGCGGCACTTTGTGGAGTGGAAAATTTTCCAGAACCAAAAGAAAACAGCTGTTTAGAGCAAGACCAACAACAACAACTAAGAACCGGGAAGAGATTTTTCCGGGGGTTGATTTTCTAATTGGATTTGTTGGTTTGGCAAGCCAATTGGAATGCCGAACGGCGCGCACAAGTTTGAACCTGTCCGAATGAAAATCAATGCAGGAACGAAACAAGTGTGTGCGAAAAGTATTGATGACACACAAACACACAACAAACTGCGAGTGACGTGTGTGTTTTTCTTGTTTTTACTTACCACTTGGTATCCGTTTTATCACTACTCTGTATTCGCTTGTCGTTTGATATTCGTTTTATGCTGAGAAATGTTTCAAGCGCGTCATTTTGAGCTATTTATAGTGGGTTTCGGAATAGACTTTGATTTTTTTTTTTTTTTGCCTTTTGGCTGCCAACTCGCCTGCGCCTCCTCTCCCTGTCAGTGGCTCTCTTTCACCACCTCACCACCTCTCTTTCACTGTAGCGCCTATAAGTGTGTGTGTATGTGCACTCACGCAGCTGCCTTCGTTGCGTAAATTATGCAAAATGCAGGCCAATTACAAAGTGTTTACAAAAACTTCTCGGCGGAGCAGTTTGACTCGATTTATTGCGATTTATTGGGGGAGCGCGGTAAGTGGACTGTGCGAAATACGCGAACTGTATGAATATCAAAAATTCGGCGGCAGCGACGAAAACATCAGCAGACGGGCTTCCACAAAATTCACGAACTAATTGAAAGTGTTGGGCAACGCTCGGTGGGTTAAATACCGCTGGAAGGGGAGTGTGGCGAAAAATACCACAACAGTATTTAAATTATTTATTGTGGAGTCGTCCTTTTGTTTTTTAATAACTTTGGGGGTTTCATTAAAAAGGTTTTTGCTATTTAATCTAATAGAATAAATTCTTTTTAGTAAAACGATGAAAATGTTCTACTTGTACGATGTAAAAAGTTCTGTTGACAATAAAAAGAACTGAACCATCCTTAAGTTTTATTGCTTTTCTGCAAAATATATCTGAAATCAGTTTAAGAAGCCATAAATTTGTAAATATTTACACATACTATGGCAATTACGAATATTTAATCTTTTTTCAACTAATTAGTTTATATAAAAAATAAAACTAAGTTACTATTTTATATTTAATAAAATCCTATTTTGTTACAAACTAAATGCATCAAATCAATTATTTTTATAAACAATTACACTGGATTTTTTCAAACTGATTTATAATATTTTTTAATTAAACTAATTTTAAAGCTATTATTTTGTATACCAATAATTACTATTTTTAGTATTTAATGTGTTACTGTTATCGCACTCATCTGGCAACTCTGTGTAAACAGCTGTTTCCCGGACGCGCATGAGAAAAAATTGTTTGCGGCTTTTCGTGTTGTGAAAATAAAATCTCAGAAAAATGGCAACGAAAACGGATAAATCACTGAATATAGAGATTAATTTTGTAAGTAAAATGCAGACCACATAAAGATTAGTATAATTAACATTATATCTTTTCCCAGGATGAAGAGGACGTGCCGTATGAAGAGGAAATTCTTCGGAACGCTTACTCCGTGAAACACTGGCTGCGCTACATTGATCACAAGGCCAAGGCGCCCAATAATGGAGTGAATCTGGTGTACGAGCGGGCTCTGAAGGAGCTCCCCGGCAGCTACAAGATCTGGCACAATTACCTGAGGACCCGGAGGAAGCAGGTGCGTGGGAAAATCCCCACGGATCCCATGTACGAGGAGGTGAACAGCGCCTTTGAGCGCGCCCTTGTCTTCATGCACAAAATGCCACGCATTTGGATGGACTATGGCGCCTTTATGACCTCCCAATGCCGAGTGACCCGCACCCGCCACGTCTTCGATCGGGCTCTGAGGGCGCTGCCCATCACGCAGCACGGCAGAATTTGGCCGCTATATTTGCAGTTCGTGCGCCGGTTTGAGATGCCGGAAACGGCGCTTCGTGTGTACCGCCGTTATCTGAAACTCTTCCCCGAGGATGCTGAGGAGTATGTTGACTATCTGCAGGAAGCGGAACGGCTGGACGAAGCTGCCCAGCAGTTGGCTCACATTGTTGACAACGAGCACTTTGTGTCCAAGCACGGCAAGTCCAACCATCAGCTGTGGAATGAACTGTGCGACCTCATCTCCAAGAATCCGCACAAGGTGCACTCCCTCAACGTGGACGCCATCATCCGCGGCGGCCTGAGGCGTTACACCGACCAACTGGGCCACCTGTGGAACTCCTTGGCGGACTACTACGTCCGTTCGGGTTTATTCGATCGCGCCAGAGATATCTACGAGGAGGCCATCCAAACGGTGACAACTGTGAGAGATTTCACCCAAGTCTTCGACGAGTACGCCCAGTTTGAGGAGCTTTCGCTGAACAAACGCATGGAACAGGTGGCCAGCAATGAGTCGGCCACTGAGGAGGACGACATCGACGTGGAGTTGCGACTCTCCCGCTTTGAATACCTCATGGAGCGCCGGCTGCTGCTGCTTAATAGCGTACTGCTCCGCCAGAACCCGCATAATGTGCACGAGTGGCACAAGCGGGTCACACTGTACGAAGACAAGCCCGCCGAGATCATCAGCACATACACAGAGGCCGTGCAGACGGTGCAGCCAAAGCAGGCGGTTGGCAAACTGCACACGCTCTGGGTGGAGTTTGCCAAGTTCTATGAGGCCAACGGGCAGGTGGAGGATGCGCGAGTGGTCTTTGAACGCGGCACCGAGGTGGAGTACGTCAAGGTGGAGGATCTAGCCGCTGTGTGGTGCGAGTGGGCCGAAATGGAGCTCCGTCAGCAGCAGTTCGAGGCTGCGCTTAAGTTGATGCAGAGAGCCACTGCGACACCGAAGCGAAAGGTTGCCTATCACGACGATACGGAGACGGTGCAGGCGCGTCTCCATCGTTCGCTGAAAGTGTGGTCCATGTACGCCGATCTGGAGGAGTCCTTTGGCACCTTTAAGACCTGCAAAGCGGTCTACGAACGGATAATTGACCTAAAGATCTGCACGCCGCAGATAATCATCAACTATGGCATGTTCCTCGAGGAGCACAACTACTTCGAAGAGGCTTATCGTGCCTATGAGAAGGGAATCGCTCTGTTCAAGTGGCCCAATGTGTACGACATCTGGAACTCCTATCTGAGCAAGTTCCTGGAGCGATATGGCGGCACTAAGCTAGAGCGTGCGAGGGATCTTTTCGAGCAGTGCTTGGATCAGTGTCCCGCCGAGCATGCCAAGTACTTTTACCTCTTGTACGCCAAGCTGGAGGAGGAACACGGCTTGGCCAGGCACGCTATGTCAGTGTACGATCGCGCCACTTCCGCTGTAAAGGAGGATGAGATGTTCGACATGTACAATATCTTTGTGAAAAAGGCGGCCGAGATCTATGGATTGCCACGTACCCGGGAGATTTACGAAAAGGCCATCGAGGCGCTGCCCGAGCAGCACATGCGTCACATGTGCGTCAAGTTCGCAGAGTTGGAAACAAAGCTGGGAGAGGTGGATAGAGCCAGGGCCATATACGCCCATTGCTCGCAGGTGAGTCATCTGTTTTCTCTAAATTGTAGTATCTTTGCTTATAATTATTCTCGTATGTTTTAGGTCTGCGATCCCCGCATCACCGCCGACTTCTGGCAGACGTGGAAGGAGTTCGAGGTGCGTCATGGCAACGAGGACACCATGCGCGAAATGCTGCGCATCAAGCGCTCCGTTCAGGCCACCTACAACACGCAGGTCAATATGATGGCCGCCCAATTCCTCAACACAAACAATGGCACGGCTGCCGACGCTGGAGCTGGAACGGATGCAATGCGGCAGCTGGAGGAGAAGGCACGCCAAGCGGCTGCCGAGGCCAAGCAGAAACCCACCGAGAAGGCCGCATCCAATATAATGTTTGTGCGCGGAGAAACGCAGGGTGGGGCCAAGGACAAAAAGGACACGGTGGTCAATCCCGATGAGATTGACATTGGCGACAGCGACGAGGACGAGGAGGATGACGACGATGAGGCGGAGAACGAGGGTGCGAACCAAGAGAACCAAGCAGTCGAGGCGGCAGCCACAAAAACCGATGACGAGGGTCTCGTCATGAAGAAACTGCGCTTCGAGCAAAAGGCCATACCCGCCAAGGTCTTTGGCAGCCTCAAGCCCACCAATCAAGGCGACTCGGATGAGGAGTGATTTATTTGATCATTGATTTCTGTTTAGGCTAAAAATATATATAAAGCTGTCAAACGTTTAAGAACTGCTGGCAAAGAAATTTGAGCTTTAACTTGTGTTATTTTCCATGGAAACGCATGGAGTTGGCTCTCTGAATAATGTCACCTGCCTTTTGGGATTACCTTGAGTTAGTCCAAGTTTTATTCTCAAGAACGAACACACTCTTCTATCCAAAATTCATTAGGAACGTGTCAAAAATTTGGTTTATATATTAACTCCCGACTAACTCAACCGGGACTGCGCTCTTCCCGGCCTTTGCCCGGAAACCAGAGATCGTGTAACCCCCCCCCACAAAAATGTCCTTTCCACGCATGATGAACGCTTTGCAGCGGAGCCTGGGCCTTTACAGGAGGATTCAGTTGGCCAGAACAAGCCAGTCTTTGGGTGGCGAGACGGGACTTTTAAAACACAACCTTCGGTCCGCTGATATGCGAATCCTACGCGGAATGGCGAAGGAGTGTGAGCCCGTTGATCCGGTGATCAAGGGCGTGGTGGTGGGCGTCTATGCCAAGGAGGCCGACAAGGATGCCAAGTTGACACCCAGTGGCGAGAAGTTTGACGACCGGACGCAGGGCAAGGTATCGGAGCTGCTGCGTGAAACTTTAATGCACGGTGAGCTCGGCAAGGGTATGGTCTTCACCAACGTGGACGCCGAGTTCCGGGCCGTGGCTGTTGTGGGTTTGGGCCAAGAGGGTGCCGCATTTAACGACTTGGAGATGATTGACGAGGGCATGGAAAATGCTCGTGTGGCTGCCGGTGTGGGAGCAAGAGCCTTACAGCTGCAGGGATGCACGGAGGTGTTTGTGGACTCTATGGAGTATCCGGAACAGGCGGCCGAGGGTAGTGCTTTGGCTATTTGGCGAGCCAACAGTAACTTGCGTCGTCGGGACCGTATTCAAATACCCAAACTGCATTTATACGACTCGCCGGATGTGGATTCTTGGACACGAGGATTGTTCAAGGCGGAGTCCCAGAACCTGGCTCGCCGGCTGAGTGATGCCCCGGCGAATCAGATGACACCAACCATATTTGCCCAGTCTGCGGTGGATGCCCTGTGTCCGTGCGGCATTTCCGTGGAGGTCCGTACCATGGACTGGATAGAAAATAATCACCTCAACTCCTTCCTGATGGTGGCCAAGGGTAGCTGTGAACCGCCAGTGATCCTGGAGGTTAGCTACTGCGGCACTGCGCCCGAGGACAGGCCCATCCTGCTGCTGGGCAAGGGACTGACCTACAACAGTGGCGGCCTGAGCCTGCGGTCCAGGGAGTGCCTGCACATGTATCGGGGCTGCATGGCCGGAGCGGCGGTCTGCGTGGCCACCATCCGGGCGGCGGCTGCCCTGTCGCTGCCCATAAACATCAGCGCCCTGCTGCCGATGTGCGAGAACATGCCCTCCGGCATGGCTGTGAAGCCAGGAGATGTGGTCACCCTGCTCAATGGCAAGACCATGGGCATTGTGGATACGAGCAAGGCCAGTGTGGTGGCAATGGCAGATCCTTTGCTTTATGGCCAGACCACCTTTAAGCCTCGCCTGTTGGTGGATTTGGCCACCGCTGGCTATGGCGTGTGCGCCGGTCTGGGAGGATCTGCTGCCGGTTTGTTCACCAACTCGAATTTTGTGGCCAAGCAGTTCGAGAAGGCTGGCTCCGTGACGGGCGATCGGTTGTGGCGTCTGCCCCTGTGGCGTTACTTCAAGCAGCTGGTGACCCCGAATCGCACCTTTGACATTAGCAACCGAGGACGTGGTCCTGCCTCCAGTTGCATTGCTGCCGCCGTGCTGCACGAGATGGTGCCGTGTGCGGATTGGGCTCACATCGATATACGGAATGTGGGCATGCTGACGCGTTATAATCCTTTGCCCTATCTACTCAAGGATACCATGACAGGCAGACCCACCCGTACGGTCATCCAATTCCTCCTCCAGATGGCCTGTTCGGAGAAATGATCCATGACGGGCCTTTTTTTACTGGTTTTTTACGGCTGTTTTGTTTTAGTTTTTTGATTTTAAGTTTACTATTTCTTTCTGTCGACATGTCCAAAATTTAATGTTTAGTTTTCGAAAGTTCTGGAAGATCAAGGATCAGGTTTTAAGACAAGACCAAGATCGAGAGAGATGTTAAAATGGAATTTACGGAAACCTTTCTCTTAAGCTTAATTAAATTATTTTAATTGCCTAAATTTGTTTGGGTTTTATTTTAAAATTTACATTCTGTGTGATTATTTCGTGTCCTTATTGGCTTCAACCTCATCCTTTTGGTTACAAAATGTCACTTTTGGTTCACCTAATTGAGCGAGAGTACGAAATGGGAGCAAGGAAAGTGTTTTATATAAATTTTACTACTCCGGAGGTTTTTCCAGACCCTCCTCGAGCTCCTCGCTGACCCTTTGTTGTTGCTCTGAGGGCGGCTTATTAGCCTAATTGCGTGAAGTTGGCTTTAATGAGTCGAAAAACGGTGCCAAGCCTGGACCCACAAAAGGCCACAAAGCAAAAGCCGCTGGCCTGTTGTGGCTTTGAATTTATGACACGGCTTTAATGGGTTAACTGGGTTAATGCTCATCCCTCAGCTCATCAACTATCTGGTTGTCTCCCCACACTCCGTCGCACTCCTTACCAGGGTCTACTGTAGTTCTCTTCTGGCTGGAATTTTTGACAATTAAGCCAACATTTCGGTCCTATTTTTTGGGGGGAGGAGATAGCTGATGATTTTCCTCACTCGAGAGGAAAAGCTGGGAGGTTATGCGACTGACTATCTTAATACGGCGACATTTTGCACAAGTCATTAGGCGAGAAATTATTATCATTTTTGAAGCATTTTTGCATTTTCCAATTCGAAAAATACCCTTTGAAAGGGAGGGTATGATGATTGTGTATAAAACTAAGATAAAGGTAAGAGAAGTCATATTTTTTGAAACTTTAAAAGCTTATTATTTGCTTAAACCAAGAGCTTATCCATTAAAATTAAGTATTCAACAAATAAATAAATATAAAACAAATTTATAGGCTCAAATTCTTCGGGAAAAATACTTTATTCCTATAGTTGAAGAGCATTTTTCATTCGTTTTCCAATTTTTCCCTAGTGATAAGCTAAGTTTCCTTCCCCACTTAATGCGTCGCAGCAGCTGATAAGTCCCGGGACTTCCCCTTTTGGGTTGGAGTGCAGCCAAATGAATTTCGCTAATGAGCAATCAGGCTTGAAAAAAAGAAGCAGAAAATATTGCAAGTCGACCGAGGGCATTTTAAAGAGTCTCCTTGGTTGACTCCCACCTCTAACCATTAACCCACCATCACCAGGAGCAGGGGCAGCGTTAATCATTTACAGCCTGGCCGCTGTAACACCAAGCCACAAAAGCCCAAATTATGATTATTTAAAGGCAGAACGTGGAAATTAGCGTTGGCCATTCCGAGATTCGGACAGTTGCCAAGGCAGCGGGTACGGTTTTGGTCCATCCAAACCCAATTCCAATCCCATCGGCCTGGTTTTTGGACACCGACCAAGAGAGCAGAAGGAAATAAATGAAAATGAAATCCTTTTTTCGACGGCGGCGGCTTGGTGTGTTCCAGGAGAGGAGGGGAAATGGAGGGTGTCCTGGACTAGAAAGAATTGCAATTGTGATAAAATTCAGCGTAACTAATGCCGACCACAGCAAAATGCGATAAATCGCTGGTTGGGTTCATGGTTATATCCTTATAGCAAAGAGTCCATTGATTTTATTAACTCATTAATGAAAAATTGTTGGGAAAGGATGTTAATTTGGTGGGGAATTAAGTAGAAATTTTCATTTCACTATTATTTAACCTGGGACTTATGACATTATACTTATCTTTATTGTATTCCTGCCTTATATTTAGACCAATTTTAAAATTTCTTTTTATATATTTCGATCAATTATTCATAGTTTCTTGCCTTTCTATCATATTTTAAATACTTACTATATTGTTAAATAATTTTTTGAACAGTAAATTGTCTTAGAACATAAAATAAGTATATGTTTATTAAAATCCATTCTTATAAAGAACCATACAAAAATGTCTTATTATATATTTCCATCATTTATTCATAGTTTCTTGCCTTTATATCATAATTTAAAACTATTTAATAATTTTAGTTCATTTTGTAAACTCTTAAAATTATATTCCTGACCTTATTTGGACTTAAAGAGGTTTTTTCTGGCTACAGATAAATGTAGCTCTACCTCTCCTATCCTCAAACATGGTATAAATAAGGTTCTATTGGATTTTTCAATCCCATTAGAGGGCATCTTTTGCTTCCGTTTGATGAATTAACCCGTTTGCCTTGGCTATCGCTTGGCTCGATTTGGGGGGAAAAGGGTTAAGGATGGCTGTTGCCTTTTGCGGTTGGGTCTCCGTTCCATGGACCACGGACTTGGGACAACGGACGGTTTGTCCCCGGCTAAACTTTTGTCGACTTTGGCGCGGCTTTTCATTCTCGCGCCCCCGACGGTTGGTTCCTCACTTCACTTCCGCTGCTTTTACCTTTTTTTTTGTTGTATTATATTTTCCTTTCTTTTTTGTTGTTGTTGCGATTTTGCGGGTGTCTCTGTCTGTACATTTTCCTCTGCCTTTTGCCTTTTGTTTCGCGGCAGATTTAGTTTCGCTGGAAATGATAATTTTCACTTGAGCGAGCACGTGAAAATAGGGTGGGAGGTGTCATGTGGGCGTGGCTGCTATAAATTGCCAATTAATGGACCTGGATCTGCCCTGCGGCGTATTTCATTTGCATTTCGATTTCGATACTGAATACCCACCAAAAGAAATGTGATGTGCCACGCTGCGTATACTTGATATTTGAATGCTTCTTTAGCGCTTTTAGCGCATTCTTTGGTCACTGTGCCGGTAGGGTCCTCCTGCCTGTTCCACGGTGCTTTTTTGCCACCAAAACCTGACACGCTTCAGTTGACCATCCGGCGCTGAATTCAAATGTAGTCGATCTAGGCTACTGCCCCCCCGCACCGCCCTGTGTCCAGCTTCCCTCGATTTTTTGGTCAAGCGTCGTGCTAAATTCGTTGCGGTTTTTGCGGCTTCCTTGGCCCGCTCCTTGCCCAGAGTTGTTTTTCGTCCCTCAAACTGCTCAAAATAAATATACACGACGAAATGGAAGCGGCCCGAATCCGGTTCATTTGCAAATTGCGATTGCAACTGCAACAAATAAAAAAAGGAGGAAAAATGAAGCAGCAGGAATAGCGAATGAATAATTGAGCGTGTGCGGTGAATATGAATGAGTGTGTGCACCGGGAAAATATTCGAATTTATCACCAAACAGAAACTGCAAAAGGGATCGATTTTAATTCTTGTAAAATTTTTAAATAAGCACTAAACTTAGTACCTTTTGGTTATTCCTTATGTTCAACAAATTATTGATTGATATGTAGCTTTATTAAATTTTCCTTGGCAAAGTTTGACCCTGATTTTTATACCCTTAGTCAGTATTAATAGCCAATTCGATCTAGACTTTATCCTTTTTTTAATTTTATAAGGAGTTACACCGTTAAAATCATACAAAATTAGCAAATATTTTAAAATTTAAAAATAAATATTAATAACACTAATATAAACTAACATAGTGAAGCTTTCCGAATTAAAATGCATGTTTAGCCTAATTATGATTTAAACTTTAAATATTAGAAAAATATATAGCAACATATCGATAAATATCGATTGAAATTATCGATTAATTCAGTATAAATCTGCAAGGGTATATAAACTTTGGCTTCCCGAAGTAAGTTTCCTGTTATACATTGTCATTTCAATTACTTATTTATTTGTTATATTTTGGCAGGATTATCATAATAATTATATTATTATATAAGCATTCTTTCCTTAAAATATCCCATATTTCTCCCAGTGAAAGGTTTAAAATCTAGCAAAGCAATTGATTTTAATCCTCTAGCCACAAGACATTCAATCTAGACCCGGTTTTCAACTTAAATTCGTATATAAATCTTTAATTATTTATTGCATTTTCGAAAAGGATTAAAAACAAACACAAATCAAATCATATGAACCAATTAATTTCTTAATCCTTCTTTGGTTGATTTCCATTTGCCGCTCTTCACTGACACCCCTTTCGGAGCTAATCACATTTCGTTTATCGTCAGTTTTATATTTTAGTTATTGCTTGTTAAACAAGCACCGAGAGACAGACATATAAATTATGGCCCCATCTAACGTACCATCGAACTAGGCATTACGCATACGACCCGTTGGAGATGGCGATGCCTCCGTATCTAACGCTACATAAAACTGTCTGGGCAAAATGCTAAACAAATGGCCAACAACAAGTTGGACAGTGCATAAACATGGCATAATATTAGGCGACTTTGCTGCTCCTGCTGCCTTTGGCTGCTTCTGGCCAACCAATAAATGGCAACAACAAATTATGTTTATTTATTTATTTTTAACACTGCCATCCTCAACTTTGCTGAATGATAAGCCCGGCTTGGTCTGGCCTGGCAATCGGATGATTTGGCTAATGTATACGTGAATAAATCGAATTTATATATATATTTGCACAAAGAATGTACAGTGTGGATAAGCTGAGCTATAGGTTTAATTTTTAACTGGGAATTGGGATAAATATATTGTTTTTAATAAGTTTATTTTATTAAGAGATGAAATTACAGTATATTTTCATCGTAAAATTCTCTCTTAATATTAAATATTAATAACTTAATTTTCAATCAACTTACAATCATGTCAAGCAGCTTAATATTGAGTTTTATAACGCTGGCTATTATAAATAAAATTGCCAAATTAAAGTGCCTGAGCGGGTTCAGCCTACCAAATACGCCCACAAACACTACGCCAATGACTCCTTTTCCCCCTCTTAACCATTATTCCTATACATATATATAAATATATATTTCTCCATAGCTCAATTGCATTTTTGGCATTTTCGTTTATTGTGCAAATTGCATTATAGAGGCGTTCTCAGAATGGATTTCTCCCAAGCTGCATTTATTGAATAATTATAGCCATAAAAAGAATTCAAAAGAACAAAGAGAATATTTCACAGGTAAAAGCCATTTCTGGAAGTGGTTTTTAAAGCAACTCAGCTCAGTTCAATGGAAATATATTTCGAGGCAAAATAATAAATATATATATCTCCGATATTCAAGTGTTAATATACACACATTCATAAAAGCATAATTTACAAATGGTCCTCGGCTTTTTTTTTGTATATTTGCACATTCCTGAATAAGAGAGAGATATAAAAAATATATGAAATAAAAAAAAAATGAAATAAATATGCGAATATCTTGTGCATTTCGAGAGATGAAACCACCTACCGGAGCACAAACCAATCCCGATGCTGCCATTCGCATCCCAATTGAGCCGGACTCCGTGCTCTGGCCGCAATGGAAGGCATTAAAATTAGTTTATTTGAGCGCCCCATCGTTGTTGTCCGGCTGTGCCGATAGGGGGGATTCCCCCAAACGATTGGTGCACTCCGTGACCGAGCTCCCGCCACAATGCAGGCATTGCCCATACGCAGTGTGTTCCCTAGGCCAGTCTGTGCCTTTGCGTTTATCGCTGGCATTGTCTGGCCGGCCATTGGTTATTTATTTAAAGTAATTATTGCGAGAAATTTGATGTTAAACGCAGCATCTCTTAAGAGGATTGTATGCCGATGCGAATGCAAATTTCATGCCTTTCATAATTCATAAATTAGATGACGGCTTCAATGAACCGGCCACAAAATAAGTCAAGTTACCAAAAAAAAAAGTAAATGCTAAAAATACGCCTTGATTTATGTCCAAAACTTTGTTTATTTATTTAACAAAACAATGCATCTGTCGAGTGAGGAGGATTGAATGCGAAATGGCCCAGGCATCGTCGGCAACGTCATTGTCATCATCAACATGCAATTGATTAATGGCCGTGCAAATAAATTATGTCAGTTTATTTAGCCACATTGTGTGCGGCCTGGCCACTGGCCATTAAAAAACTCAAAACCGAAAATCTATGGCCTACAAGGAACGCGCACACATTAATTTCACCCAACTTGTCAAAACCAGAGCACGGAAATGTCACATTTTACAATATATATTTGCTGATCAAACTATTCGACGATATTTATTTAGCAATTGATAGGCACCGAGCAAGCCCAGGGCCAAGCCCATTACACGATCGAGTTGGTGTTGTCTCAAGCAGCCATTACAGGGTATCATTCCCTGTCGAGAGGTGCAGACGCAGGCCTCCACCTGCATTCCATTTTCATGGGTCTGCCGATAGCAGCCGTTACTTGCATTCACCATGGCGCACATGTATGTGATGTTAAGAACTGAAATTAAGGATTTTCTATAGAGAATATTAAATATTTTGAATAGAGAGATTAAAACTTACTGCCACCCTTGAAAATGTAGGAGTACTTGACACACGAATGAGCTGCAGACATTTGGCACAGATACTGATCCCGATCTTGGGTGGAATTTTGCCACAAAGCCTTCACATCCGGAACTGTGTCGTTAGCTATTCGGGAGATATTTTATGCATATTACATATTTATATTTATTACAAGAGAGTTTCATTGTTAATCCATGAAGAAGGAATACGAGAATACATCGATATAAATCACTATTTTATTTGAAAGTCTATGTATCAATCAAAGTCTTAATCGATCAATCGATCTTAAACAGAATATCGATATATCCCAAAAATATGAATTAAAAGTAATTTTTCAGATATTGTTTGATAATTACGCTAATGTTTTATTGTTAAATGTGATACCTTTTATATTTAAAAATTCAATACATCACAGTTTTCATATAACAAGGTAGAAATTAAAATTAAATAGTACAAAATCTCAACAAGTAATGTTAGATAATGATTCATTACTACATTACGAATTATTAAAATATACGTATTGAGATTGTATAATATTTGAATGTTTTTTAAATGAAAGTCGATCTATTAGAGTTGCGATATACGTACAAAAAATCGATATTTTGATTGATATATACGCACATTGAAAAAAAAACTCTCAAACAAATCAAATATTATTTTCAAATAGTACATATAGTTCAATAAAAAGACAATATCGACATTTTAATATTAATAGAAACATTTATAGTTATTGAAAAATTCGATTTATTAAAATTTACGATGTGTTCAGTGTATTAATGTATCAGATGAAAGCATACAGAAAGAAAATTTAGAAACACTAAACGAATAATGTAATTAATCATGCTATGAATTTAAATGGTAAATAAAATAAATTACAGATTTTATTTTAATGTCACGTAATAAAACAAGTTATGAATATTTTAGTTTCTATTTAAATACAAATAAATTCCTAAACTTACGTGTAACCACCAAAGGCTCCACACAGGGTATGTCATTGAAGTCTCCCACTCTGGAATCGCAGGTTTCTGTCACTATATTGGAATGATTTTCGTAGGCACCAACCCAAGTAAAGCGAAAGCACTGAGGGGCTTTTCACAAGTTAATAAATAATAATTAAACACCAAAATTGTATATATTTTCTGCAATTTTCACTCACTTTCAGCCAACAAATGACAAGCAAACAGGAGCAAAGGCAGCCAAAAACGAAACAACTTCAGTGGCATTGCCGATAAGATTGTATATTTCGGGGAATATAATTTTTCCTATTATTTTTAAGTGATTTTTTATAGGGGAAGGTCTGACGTTGCCCCAGCGAAAGACACTTTGATAATGCGGCGATGGCAATCGAGCGATGGGTTGATTGCGACTTATCAGTTAGTTTACAATCATTTACTTTAAAGTGCAATTATAAGAACTTGAAAATACCTATAAATATTCATTGAATCAAGAGATTTTGGTTGATTATTTTAGGAGTACGAATTTAAATGAGTTTTTAAAATGATTTAAACAATTTATTCAAATGTATAATATATATATGATGAGGAATATATATAAGAATTTGATTGATACCTATAAACATTCAAGAGATCAAGCGATTTTTCAGATATATTGAAGATTTAAAATGTTAAGAATGATTGAAACAAATTATTTAAATAACTATGGTATGGTATATTTTTATTTTCTATCTTATTATTGAAATCTTTTTAGAGTTTTTTTTTCAAGACTATTGATTTCTCCAGCTTCCCCCATATTGTGTAGTGCAAACCTTGTAATTTTCTAGAAATACTCAATTTTGGTCAATATTTTTTCTATATTTTTTAGCCTTACTGTGAATGATAACTTATTGAAGTCCACCTGAATGTCTCACCTTTTTAGCTTTTCTTTACATTATCAATTTCGAGTATTTCCGAGTGCGCTGCGATTGCAATCAAAAATCGATAAGCGTTTTTATCTCTCGCCTCGATTCTTTCTCTTTTCCCCCTCATTGATAAACAAAGAAAGTGCCATAAATTGTAAATAATTTTTGGGATTTTAATACCAAAGGCAGCTAGCTTCCTTTGACAAAAACCCAAAAGCGAGATGAAAAATTTATGCAAATGGCATTTAATTAAATTCACACAATCGAGACGGGAGGGAGGCGGGGAAAAGTGGGAACAATTAAACAGGAGGAGTTGGTAACATTTTTTTAACTAAACTCGGCAAATTGTATTTGTTGTTAATTGTTCAACTGTCCTCCTCTGGTCCATCGTGCAGAGTCCGAGCCACAGCCTTTGCTCTCGCAAAATGAGTTTGAAAACAAATAAAAATGTCAAACGAATGAATAAAAGTTGTCTAATTTAATTTGTTTAGCAGGAGCAACGGACAGGAGCAGGACGAGGAGCAGCATTTCCACACTGACTCTCACAAGTACTCACACTCACGTAGTTGCAAAACATTTTCGCAAATTGAATAAGCACGAAAATTTGTGTGCGCTTTTGCCCCCATTCCTGGGACCAGTATTTCAGTATTTTTTAAATTTAATTTTTAATTGCTCAAAACAATTAACATTTATTTGCAATTTTGTGTGTGTATGTGTATGCTTTTGGCTAACTTTTCCGGCTAAGCAAAGCCAGCTGCCAACGAATTACGTGCCGAGTAAACTTTGGACCAACTGTGTGAATAGCAAAGGGATATTCCCTATAAATGTAGTATATATTTTGCTATAGCAAATATAGCTATTTACACGTCCTTCCGTCTGCCAGGATGCCCATCCATCAAATCAAAAGGCAATGGCGAAACCTTTGAACTTTTCCAGTCAATTCACCGTTAACCGTTACATGATAAGCGCATTTCCCAAGCGCATTTCCCTTCACCTATTTCCCGGCTCCAGTTCGCGCAAAAGTGTGCCATTGTCTTCCCCTAAGATGGATCACATGTGTCATTGGCCCGGGGCCAGTATCAATCACATGGCGGAAATTAGCGTTAGTCATACATTTTCCAAGGAAAGAGCATTTTCCGGATATGCGGAAAAAATGTCACGTCAGATTTGGAAACTCCTTAGAGGTGGAAAAACTGGGGGTTTAATCATAAAAAGGAAATGTGAAAGGTATTTTCATAAGGTAAAAAAATTTAAAACTTAGATAAATTAAAAAAACTTCCATTAAAAAGTTTAAAATTGGATTCTATGTTCCACTTTTCAGACCTTCTTTTCTGTAAATTAAAGGTAAAAAGATTTTTGAAACTAAATATTTAAATAACTAACTAAATAACTATATATATATTTAAAATATTTGATTTAATGTCAAAGAATTAAATATTATTTATAATAAAACAGCTAAACAAGAAATAAAGAAATTCAATTAGCAAACTTAATTCAAAACATATATCAACCGAAATCAACACATTTAAGTTTAAAATATCTAATAATATAATATTACTACTGTCAAAGAAAAATATTTTATAAATTTATTAAAGATTATGTCAAGCATAAATCGAAAACCTTTGCGAATAAAATCGATATATGTTAGTATCGATATAACTTATACTTTGATTCTTTTCAACACATAAACTATATACATTTTACTTTTTATGAAAAAGGCTTTTTCTTTTGAGTACAATTTTGCAAAGAAATTGCTCTATTGTTATAAAATTAATAAGCAACGAAAAATCATGGCTTTTCCCTCATTACACATATTTGACAATTAAACTGATCTCATAAACTTGACAACCTTAATTTGTGTTTCCACTTATAGCGGTCGTAAAATTGTCATATTTATAAGTACAGCTAATAGGATATTTTTGTACAATCTCAGATAGAAAGCAATAACATTTCGCCACTTCCCTTGGACTCGCCGCACTCATTAATTATGCAAATGTTTTGATTCGCTTCATGTTTCTGGTTGTGGGCACCACCGAAGGAACGGAACAGCAAAAATTATGTTGCCAAAATGCAAATGTTTGTCAAGATGGTTAAGTTAGTGGGCGTCGGAGGTCGCAATCATAAAGAGTGCCATGTGATTAGCAGAAGCCGTTACAGCAGCAGTAGTAGTAGTAGGAGTAGCCTTTGGAAAGGACGAAAGTTGTTAGCCAAACATGTACACACACACTCTGTGTCCCATTCGGGATATTGGGAACCCGGCTTTAACGAAAGCAAATGTCACTTGGGTCTTATGGCGGGCCTGCATAAAATTTGCATGCGATTAAAATTGATAAATAGCCAAAGAGGATGTGTAAATGCGAATGGTTCCCTCTGCCAGAATATACAACGCACTCACTCCAAAGACCAACACTGGGTTTCAATTAAAGGGAAGCACTCAGAGAAAAACCAAGGAATATATTATATAAATATATAAAAATCGTATTCGATATTAGTTGGGATATCTTCGATTACTTTAAAGTTTCACAAGGGAAAGGTCACATTTCTTGTCTCCCCTGGAGACATATTTTTAGTTTAGGTCTAGTATCTGAATCCTGCAACACCTGTGACAACTAATGAACAGCGCCTACAAGTGTAAGTAAAGAGGCTAATGTCTGTAAATTTAATAAGGCGTGCTGTTGTGAGAGGTCCTTTTCCGGCTCGCTTCTATTCCCGATGACTCCTCGCTAAACCGATTTGCTAAATTGCAAAGTCTCCCTGTTGGCACACAGCGTCACAGGATCTTTTGTCCCTCGCAACGTAGCATCTAAGTCGATGGTCCTCGTCCTTGTCACCTCTCCCTGCCCCCTCTAATTACACCTGCGAGGCGCTGGCGAGTCCGGATCATTATGTCACCTGTACGAAAAATGCCGCACGTAATCCGGAAACGAGGCGAGCTCAGTGACGGGCACGAAGTGGGGCTCATTGTACGGAAATCGCATTTGGGGCAGATAGCACCGCCTAACTAACGACCAGTCAACTAATACGATTAGTGTCATAATGCGGAGTGTCACACCAGCGGAGGAGCCAATGCACGGAGAGAAAATATAGTGAATACAAAATATTGGTATGAAAAATACAAATTATGCTGAGGTTAGGTATTGTAAAAAATATCTATATATAAATATATGTACATATAGTGTCAAAATTAAATGCGAAGGCTAATAAATAAATAATTTAAATTTCCGATATATGTGCAATAAAGCGATTTTCTGTAAACACAAAAATTTCAATTGTCACAGTTTTTAGTTTATAGCCAAAGTAAAAAGAGACAAAGGAAACAAATGTTTCGGATTTATCTTTCTTACTCTCTTGTTGATATTTTAACTAACTTCATGTTTAAAATTTGATGAAATTTATAATATAATAATATGTTTTAAATAATTTCCTGAACACATATATGTATTTCCATATAATGCTACTGTATCGATATTGAATGCGAATAAATAAGGTTACATATATTTTAAATTTCCGATATTAATATGTTCAATGAATTGTTATTTTTTATATAAAAATTGGATTTTTACATCTTATAAAATAAATTTGTAAGAAATAAATATTTTTCCGATACTTCTTTGTTTTAAATATATCGATATATTAACATTAAGTTCAATCAATGTAAAAGTTTTCCAAATTTAAAATATAAATTATCTTGCATGTTTTTTTTTCGAAATTAAGAGCGATATTTTAGTAAGCAAAATATTCGATATTTCGTATAGATATCCTACATTTATATAGTTATGGGAATTATTGAATTACAAACTACATTTATTGTTCGTACAATATGTATACTTGTTTCACAGAAATCAAGAAATAATACAATTTTACAAAATTTCATATAAATTTAAAGTTTGAGTTTTCTATTTTTATTTTAGTATAAATGGGGATTATAAACGTTTTTAAAATATTAATTTAGCATTAGGACGATTTTTCTTTGCAGTGCATAAACACACAAGACACCCTAAGCTTCTGTTTCCTTCCAATTTCGTACTATTTATCTGAACTGCTTGACTGATTGGTTTTTTTCTAATTGTTCCGATATTAGATTTGAGGCTATGGCTATAGTTCTCTGGATTCTGATAACTCGCACACTTCCCGGCATAGGATCCCAGCGCCTGCATTGACTACGAAATTCGGTTCTAGATGGCTGTTTTAAGATTGGTGTATGGAAACACGGAAGGGGAAATGTTAAGGGCGTAAGTCCCTCGAGAAGATCAAGACAGTTCCGAGGTTTGGTTTCCAATTTCTCGAAATCATTTCGCGCATTGCAATGTGTACAATTGCAATAGGATCCGCAGGTGCACACCTGTCCACCCTTCATGAACCGGCATTCGTCATCCCTGGGATAGCTCTGGTCCGCTCTTAGGCCCCAAGGAGCAAGGAGTCGATACATCGAGACAGTGCGCAT